GAAGAGAAGGCTCCAGGGAGAGCTGAGAGCAGCTTCCAGGGCCTGAAGGGGCTCCAGGAAAGCTGGGGAGGGGCTTGGGACAAGGGCAGGGAGGGATGGGAGCAGGGGGAAGGGTTTCCAGCTGGCAGAGGGAGCTGGAGCTGAGATGGGAGGGAGAAATTCTGGGCTGTGAGGGTGGGGAGAGCCTGGCCCAGGTTGCCCAGGGAAGCTGTGGCTGCCCCATCCCTGGGGGTGTTGAAGGGCAGGTTGGATGGGGCTTGGAGCAGCCTGGGCTGCTGGGAGGTGTCCCTGCCCATGCACGGGTGGCACTGGGTGGGCTTTGAGGCCCCTTCCCACCCAAACCCCTCTATGATTTTTTTAAGGTGAAAAATTGAAAGCATCCCACAGAGTTATCAACAGGCAGTTTAAATCAAACAAGAGCAGGTTTGTTACCAAATATCCTGCAGAATGGAGCTGGTCCAAGGAAAAGAGCCTTGGTTTCATGAGGTCCTGAAGAGATCCTTGGACACATACATGCACCAGTGAAGAATCCTTGAGCTGAGGTGGAGCAGAATATGCATGTCAGTAACTGAACTGGTAAAAATAATTCAGTACTGTTTCTTTTAATGTGTTTCATCTGGTAGTTCCTGAGAGCCCTTCATGGGGAGGTTCAGTGTGAACATTATGTGGCAAGGGACCCAGTGGCTGGAAAGTGGAATTAAACAATGTGGGTCTTTACACAGCCTTTCAAATGGCCCTGATGTGGTTACTGGGGAGCTGTGACCCCCTTCTGCAGCAGATCTTCCCCGAGGGAAACAGCTTTGGTTCTTGGTTGTGTTTTAAAAAGGATAATTTCAAAATTCTGTCCTAGACACAGCTGTGCAAGTGGTAGAACTGGTGAAAGATCAGAGGTGGCCATGGGTTTGGGAGCTGGAGAGAGGACAAGGAGGGACTGGAGCAAGTGTTCCTGCAGGAATAGTGCTGTGGGTCTGGTTAAAAAAAGCCTCGTGGTGCTCTTGGATAAAACCACACACTGATGCAGGAATAATCTGGGAATGTCACACACTGATGTCCCTCATCTCATTTACTTCATTTTATAGAACATGTTTTAGCCTAATGGTGTTATGACACAGAGTATCTTGTTGGTGTGGTGCTCACCACCTTTGTCAGTGGGAGTAACAGTTCCTTTCATTTTCTGTACCATTAGTGGTTATTTCCTGAAGCCACCTCTCATCCCCATACCCTGAAACGTGATGCCACCTCTTTGTGGTCCCTCAGACCTGGGAGTTGACCAGCTCTTCTTTCACAAGCTGCTCGTTGCCTTTCATGAGGCTTCTGTACGTGTCCCAGAGCCAGTTGGGTGGGGAGGAGACTGTGTCTGGGGAAGAATTTAGTCTGGAGCTCTCAGCAGGAGTCAGGATTGAAAGGCTGTGCTCAGATCCTCAGATAGCTCAATGACTGAGCTGCTTTTTGAAGAACAAATGTCTACTGATGAGAACTGGAGTTATCTTGTGCTCTCTGAAGATACTGGAAGTGTGACTGGGGAAGAATGAAGATCACTCCTTATTTCCTTCCTGTAGAGAACAGGAAAAGATAGAACAATAAAAAATGAAATGAAAATCAGTATTTTATGTTGCTCCAAAGTGACCCGAGCTCTGTCTTTGGCATCTTTAACTAAAAGAAATCCAGCAAATCTTGGGGTTTTTTGTGGATATTATTAGGATATTGGGTAGGATAGAGCAGGATGGTTATGGCTTGTTGAGGAAGTGTGATGAGCTCATCCTGAGGTGAGATGGCACAGAGCAGGGCAAGGAGGGAACATCCAAAGCAGGAGGGAAGGCCACTGGAAGGAGTTCTTAGGGATCAGTTTGGACATTGTCTGGTTTTGATATCCTTGATGATTGCTCCAGAAGTTGCAGTGCATTGGGGAACCTGGCTGGAAAAAGATCATTAATAGAGTTCACATAGAGAAAAATCAGGGAGGCAAATGGAAGGAAAGTGGTAGTGGGATAAAAATGAGTGATACAAAGTGCAGTGCTCCTCTTGGAAGGGAAATATTCTTTCTGATCTACATGGCAACAGTTAGACCTTATCTGAAATACACACTGGAGGGACATCAGAGGGGACAATCTGAGCCATGGGGAGCAGGGGTGAAGAATGGGGGGGGGTCCCTGCTTGGGCAGGGGGTCCCTGAGCTCTGCCAGAGGGGGAGGAAAGAGCTGGGCTGGGATCCAGTCACTGTCTGCAGGAGGAAACTTAATGTGGATTTGTGGGATGAGGCTCCAGCTCAAGTTGGACCATAATAGTTTGTCATTCTTTGTCACGGGCAGTGTCTCATTTACCACCTTGACAAAGAACTGTATCAATAATTTTTTCTTAACTTAGTTGGGATGATATAAAATGTATAAGCAAAACTTTTGTGAGGGAAGGGGATGGTGAGAGAGGTTTCCTTTCAGCAAGTGTTTGTGAGGACTTGAGATCCAGAACATGTAGGAAAAGGGGCCCTTCCTTCAGTTTCTATTTCTAGCTTGGATTCCCAGTATCCTTTTGCCATCCCTCTCACTGGTGAACCCCTGCAAGTCCTAGCCCAGGCTGTAGCACAGTGTGTGGGCCCTGGCTGGGAGGCGGGTGCTGAGGTGGTGTTAAGTGTCATCTGCTTTAGAATGGCCAGGAATAGAATTTGGGCATTATTTTACAGACCAAATTTTAGCTGCCCAGCTGTGCACCCTTTGGGTAATAGAAACCATCAGTGTCTAAGCTGTACTATTTTCCCCTCTGTATATTCTTGACGATCTTGGCTTCTCCTGGAGAGGTCAGTGGTCCCACTGGTGCCCAGCTCTGGAGTTGCAGGTCACACACACAGTTTTATGTATATAAAACCAAAATACACTCTGCTGCCTCACAAAAGACCATTCACAGTTTTACACCTCTCTGATGTCTCTGAGTATAACAGCACATTCTGGTGTTCCATAACTTTTATTTTATTAGCAGGTCAGCTCTTGGTTTCTTGTTACTCCCCGTTTCCACTAGGTTTTTTAAATAGTTTCCAATTATGGCCTATCTATATTTGTTGGTTGCTGCAATACATACATTGGAGCCCCTTGTCTTACATAAATCATTGATTGTTGCAGTTATGGCTGCTGAGCATGACTCTGAAATACACATCATACCAAAAAGCCCCCAAAGCCGTTAATGCAAATTGTTTCTGGTGCAGCAGGGGGGTTTCCCTCTCTGTGCCCAGCCTGAGCTCTGATCCAGAAAAGTATTTCAGTGTATAGACCTAGTCTGTGATTTAGTTGTGGCTGCCCCATCCCTGGAAAGTGTTCCAGGCCAGGTTGGATGGGGCTTGGAGCAGCCTGGGCCTGTGGGAGGTGTCCTTGCCCATACTGGGGTGGGACTGGATGGGATTTAAGGTCCCTTCCATCCAAACCAGTCTGTGAGTCTATGATTATGATTCTGTAGTTCAGGCTACTTGCACTTCAAGTTAGCTCATGCCTATATGGTGCCTGTTGTTGATGCTACGCAGCTCTAATCGGAGCAGTGTTCGTTGGTGGGAAGAGCTGTTCATTTTGTTTCTAGAATTGAGCTGATTTTCCAGGCAGGCTGGCAGGTGTGTGAAGCAGGTACATGAAGATGTCCTGCTTGGAATTGTAAGGGAGGAATAAAGAGTGAAGACAGAAGGCAAACTGATCCTCTTTTCCATTGCAGCTAGTTGTGTCCCATCAACATGTTCTGGAAGTTTGATCTGAACACGACATCGCACGTGGACAAGCTGCTGGATAAAGAAGATGTGACACTTCACGAGCTGATGGATGAAGATGACATCTTACAGGAGTGCAAGGCTCAGAACCGCAAGCTGCTGGACTTCCTCTGCCAGCAGCACTGCATGGAGGAGCTGGTCAACCTCATCACCCATGAGCCCCCCGTGGATATGGACGAGAAGGTCCGCTTCAAGTAGGTATTTGGTTTCTGTCCTACACAAAGAAAACCTCAGGAGAGAGGGTGGTGGTGGTGGAAGGGCTCTGCTGCGAGGTGGTTGTAACCTTGTCAGTCTTGGGAGAAAGGCTTTGTGGTGGTGGGAGAGATTTCATGGCTTTGGTTATTTGTAGGGAGTTTTCAGAAGCTTGTTTCTTTATTTTTAATTGTTTAACATTGAGTTTGTCTAAAAAATACAACTGTGTCTTGTTCATTCAAAACTTTGCAGGCAAAATAGTCAGTATCTCAGAAGTGCCTTTAGTATGTTTTGATCAAAATTGTAAGCAGGGAGCTTTGTGCTCTGAGCTGTAAATCTCTTCACTGGATGGGTTTTCAGCTGTCAAGCCCACAAAAGAGAGTGAGCTGGACAGTGAGTGAATGGTGTAATATTCTCAGTGTGAAAAAGCTGCTGATTCAATTGATGCTGTAGCTGGGGAAAGGGCCCAACAAGAGCCTCTTTGTTATGATGGTGAACTCCTCAGATGGGTTTGGTTCTCATAGCAAGTTGTGTTTATACGGTTTAATGTAAAAACAAAAGGTTGCTCCATGTATAGATAGAGAAGTTAAAAGGGGCAAGTTTGTCACTGTGGGAATGGATCAGCTTTGGTTTTTGCTGCTGTTGCTTGAAATCCCCTGGAGAAATGGCAGTATTGTTTAGGTTCATTGCTAGGTGAGAGTTGGTCAACCAGCTTTAGGTGACTCAGGGTAAGTGGAGGCCAGGGGGTACATCAGGTAGTAACTTGGAATTTTCTGTGGCTGCTGTTGCAGGGCTTCTGCTGTAAGAGCTGAATTGCCAGCAGGAGCAGGAGTCTTAGTTTCACAGTGTTGTCCTACAAATGCACATTTAGTGCAGGTTTAAAGCAGGATGTGCCACACAAACAGTCATTAGATGTTTTGCAGGTCCTGTGTTCCATCAGGGGTTCCAGCAGAGCACCTGGCTCTGCAGGGGGTGAGAGTCTCTGGGCCTGTTGCAGCCCTTCATCCTGCTGGTTTCCATGCTAACCTGGACAATTTCAACCCCAGAATATCTGATGAAAGAAGAAGGGCAACACTTTCATTAGTGCTGAGAGTTCATGAGCAGAGGAGGTGCTGAACAGCATGAGACTTGTGGTCCTTTTCTGGAATCCAGCTGTGTTTTGCTGGAGGAGGGGATAAGGGATTCCAGTACCAAGCCAGTACTGGTTCAGACATTGTCCATGTTACTGCAGAGGACTCTTGCTACTTCAGTTCTCACATTTTTAGGTTCTGTTCCTTTTGGGATTTGTGGGGCTGCTGTGGGGAGATGGGTGATATCTCTGATCCTTGTGCTGGAGGGTGAGAGTGAAAACCTCCTGTTGTTACCAGACAGATGATAGAATCGTGCAACTGTTTTGGTTGGAAAAGACACCACACCACACAGCTTGGTATCGTCAGCAAACTTGCTGAGGAGACACTCAATCCCACTGTCCATGTCTCCAACAAAGATGTTAAACAGCACTGGTCCCAATACTGACCCCTGAGTCACCCTCCTCCATTTGGACACTGAACCATTGACCACAACTCTCTGGGTGGGGCCATCCAGCCAATCTCTTATCCACCAAGTGCTCCATCCATCTACTCCATGCCTTGTCAGTTTAGAGACCAGGATGTCATGTGGGACAGTGTCAAACACCCTGCACAAATCCAGGTAGATGTCATCAGCTGCTCTGCCACCATCCACCATCTCTGTAGCCTTGTTCTTCAAGGACACCAGATGGGTCAGGCATGACTTGCCCCTAGTGAAGCCATGTTGGCTGTCACTAATCACCTCTTTATTTCCATGTGCCTTAGCAGACTTTCCAGGAGGATCTGCTCCATGACCTTGCCAGGCACAGAGGTGAGACTGACCAGCCTGGAGTTCCCTGGGTCTTCCTTTTCCTCTTTTAAAAAATAAGGTATATGTTCCCTTTTTTCCAATCAGTGGGAGCCTCACCAGGCTGCCAGGACCTATTAAATATGATGGACAGAGGCCCAGCAGCTGCATCTGCCAGCTCCCTCAGGACCCATGGGTGAATCCCATCAGGTCCCATAGATTTATGCACCTTCACATTCTTTAGATGGTCATGATGAAATGGTCAGATGAGGACATTGGATCTGCTGCTTCTTCCAAGAGCAGTCTGTGAGGTGCCTGCTGGAAGAGCTGGTGTGTTGGTGGGAAGTGTGGTCACAGACACAGGTGAATGAATCTTTGATGGCAACAAGAACTGTGCAGTGACCTGCTTGCCAGGACAAAGAGCTGATCTTTAGAATGTGTTTTTTTGGAAATGCCCCCAGTACCACCTGTAGGTCCACTGGAGAGGAGCTTTCAAAGCATGATGAGGCACTGGAGAAGAGAAGGAGGATTTAAGCTTATTAGAAAATGGGAAAGCCTTTGGAATAAATAAAGGCTAAGCTGGAAGAATGGACTCTGTAAATCCAGATGGAATCCAAGTTTTGGCTCTTAAGAAAAGGTTATGGAAGTTTTTTTAACTGGAACAGGGGAGAAACCTGATGGGTTTGGAAGGCTGTGCATGCTGTGGAGATGGAACCATCAGGCTGCTTTATTCTTGGGCTGTCAGTGGGGTGGAAGTTCCTGAAGTTCCAAGGGAAACTGCAGAGGGGGAAACTGGGCAGTAAATCCCTGTCCAACACAGCATGTGAAGCTGAGCAACCAGATGGAGACCTGAGGGAATCCAAGAAGTGCATAAACTGTTGGAGCTGTGGTGTGGGATTAGAATGAACTCGTTGACACAGTAGGGTGCCTCCTAAACCTGTTGGGACTTACAGGACAGGCAGAGGAGACAGTGTGAGGGTGAGCTGAGGGTCAGGGGAGGTGAGAGCTGCGGGACCGGCTGGGCTGGGTGCTGAGCTGGGCACGGAGGGTGAGGGATGAGGGCAGACTGTGGGAAACCTAGAGCAGGACGTGCTGTAAGAGGGCTCATCGATCCCCCTGCTGACAGGGTGTGTAGCTCTGCAGGCACCGGGCACGTTGGGGGAATCCTGAGTGACCTTTGCATGGAGCAGGGAGCCAGGAAAAGGAGAAATAACTTCACATCCCCTTGGGGACTCTGGGAAACTGAACTGTTGTAAAGTCACTTGTAGTAACAACCATCGTGTACACAGATTTAACAGCCTCCTAGGAGCAAAAAAGACATAAACAACATTTTCAAGGGTCTGGAGTTTGTTTTTCTAACTTGTAGGAGTGGAACTACATAAATATGAGGAGGCAGGTGCTGTGAAAGGGTAAAAAGCTCACAGCTGGTCTGGAAACACTGGAGTGGTAAATGCAGAGCTTATATCACAAAGATATATATATATATATATTTAATCCTAATGTAGAAAACTGGCTTGTTTAAAAACAAATAGTCCATTGCAGGTAAGAGTGTGTCCTCACAAAGGGCATTTGTGTCCAGATGTGGCTGGTTTATCAGTGAGAGTGAACAGGGGGATCTGGAGGAGCAGTTTGCTTAAACCCACCAAAATGAGGAAGCCTAAGTGACTGTGCAGAGCTGGAGGGTGACCCAGGGCTAAAAAGGAGGATAGGACCATAGAAAAAAATGTAACTAAACTGAAACTGTAGAGTCTCCTTCTCTGGAGAGTTTCAAGATTTCCAGCAGTCCCTGGGTCCATCTTGTCACTCCAAGAACTGAGCTGAGATTTCTAAAGACCTACAGTAATTCCACTATTCCCTGATAGATGGTCATCGGCGTAGGAAGCGTTGTCAGACATAGGAAGTGTCTGGGGAGGTGGGAGATCAGAGCACAGAGGGTCCCATTTCAAGTTTGGGAGGTGCTGTTAAGATTTCTTTATGTTCTGAGCAGAAATCTGCCTAATTTATGCTAAGAGAGAAAAGCACAGCAGATAAATGCTCAACCCCAGGTCCTGTTCCACCCTCACAGGTCTCACTGCAAAGGTGGTGGAGATGTGAGAAGTACCTGCCCATCTCCACCCCTCTTTTCTGCCTGGCTTTTTCCTTTGGGATTAAAGCTAGAAAAAAATCCTGCCACATGTTGAAACATGGGGTCAGTGTAACTGCTCTGCAGCAGTCGAGGTGCTGCCTTCATGCTGGAGAAACTCCTGGTGCTGCAGGAGTGTTTCTGTTGATCTTGGAGTTGGCTCATCTCTGAAGTTACAAGAAGTGGGAGACCTTCCATAGTTCCTGAAAGTGGAAACCTGGTGGGTTTGTGTCTGATGGAATGGCACAGGTTTTTTTTGAAAAGTGAGTGCACTGTTTAAAAACCAAACAGTGAGAAAGTTTTCTGATGATCTTCTGGAGTTTTTGGCCCTTATTAAAATACACAGAAGGGGTTTTTCCCAAAAGCAAAAAGATAACCAGCTTGCTCACAAAGAGAAGGTGCTGAAATGGTACAGGACAGGTTTTATTTTTAGTCTGTATCACTTGATAACAGATGAAAACTACTGCAGCAGGCAGGGGTGGGAGCTGGCACCGAGCAGGGCTTTGGGGTTCAGAATCGCTGCCTGGGGCCTTGAACCCCTCCAGCAAGCCCTGGCAGAGGCTGCAGACAATTAGAAGGGGAAGAGTAAATTATGGTTAAAAAATAAAGTCCAGCTGCCTGCTGACTCAGGGATCATCATATAGATCATTGTAACTGTGAGAATCCTGTTGGAGTTGAGGGCAGGGGTGAGTTTCACGGCACGAAGGACCTGCTCTCTTGGCTGCAGTAGCCTCAGCGTGAGGGTGAGTGGGGCTTGTTCTGAGGAGTCCTCTAGAGCCTTTCTTAGAGAGGGACAGGTGCTGGAATATGGAATTGGGACACCAATGCTGAAAGGAGTTTGTTTTAAAATAACAAATTGCTAGATGAATTTTGGCGTTGTAGGCTGTGTGCAGGAGAGCCTCCCATCCCTGCTGGATTCCTTCGTCGTGTGAGTGAGGAGAGAGGGAGGCAGTGAAATGTTGGTACAACAGTTGGCTTCTGGTGGAGGGTTTCAACCCAAAGAAACTTCAGTCTTTTAGCTAAACAGTCCAAAAAGCTTTTTTTTGTGTGTGTTAACTTTAGACCATGTATGCACTTTGATGCTGGAGACCCTGTCTAATTACAAACGTCCTATTAATTATAAACACGTTATTACCTTTTTGTGAGCATCAATATGACCTGTTTCTAAAAGCACCACCTGGAAGAGAAAGAAACGAGGTCAGGGAGAAAAAAAAAAAAGGGATTTCATTAGCTGTCAGATGTGATTTCATATCCTGATTTAAGTGTGCAAAGTTACCTAAACCAGGCACAGTCATGTTTTCTGAAAAACAAGTTGATTGTGCAGAAGATAATGGACATTGCTGAAGAATGGAAGCTCAGAAGGTTGGCTGTAAGTTGGTTGCTTGTACACAGTGTGTGCTCATTTGTTAGCAGGTTTGTGTGAAATCCAATGTTCTGCCTCTAAATTCAAGTTCTCATCATTTTAAAAAGAATAAATAATAAAATGCTTATTTTTAATTCAGCTCCAGTAATGGAAGAATAATTCAGCAACGTGACAGAAACCTGCTGAAATCCAGTCCTTCAAATCAACCTGAAGCTTTGGGGTTCATTTTGGTTGTGCAGGTGGATTCACGTTAAGAGATGTAAAGAGATGTTCAGTGTGCTGAAGCTGAGGAACCATCACATTCACAGAATCAGGACCAGGTGCAGACTGGAGGCAGCAACAGACAAAACTCAGTGGTTAAACCCCCATGGGTGCCACAGGCCATAGTGTTTCCTGGAGATGTGCCAGTGATGTTGGTGATCCTTGGTTCTCGCGTGGTTTGGTCTTTTCCCCTGTCTCCAGGAGGGATGATCCTCCTCCTCCTCTTCAGTTTATCACTTCACTAAGGGAGGATTTTCGTGAGTTTCCGTTTCACTCTCGGTTGCTGTGGTTCTGTCCCTGCAGATACCCCAACACAGCCTGTGAACTGCTGACCTCGGATGTGCCGCAGATCAACGACAAGCTGGGAGGGGATGAAACTCTGCTGAACATCCTCTACGACTTCTTGGATCACGAGCCCCCTTTGAACCCTTTGCTTGCCAGTTTCTTCAGTAAGACTATTGGGAACCTCATTGCAAGGAAAACTGAACAGGTAGAGATGAGATTTGTCCTGCTACCCAAGCACTGATGAACCCACTGATGCTGTTGCGTTTGGGGGCCGTGTCGCTGCTGCCTTGATGATCTTGTGTTCTGGGAGTTGACAGACAGCTCACTGTGCTCTTTAGGGTTGGAGCTGAAATGTGAGCTGTGAAAAGTCCTTCCAGTTGCTCAGCTGAGGGAGCTGCTGGCTCCTTTAAACACCTCTGTGCAGTTTTGTTTTGGATCTGCAGGAGCTGGGATACTCCTGTGTCTCAGCTGAAGCTTTGTTTTTCATACTAAGGCTTGGTGATGCATCCTTTGATCACTGCCCAGAATCATCTCCTTAAATAAACAAGGCCTCTCCCTCATGCCTATAAAAGGGGTGCTGGAAACAGGAGCTGAACCATGTGTCAGGAACACGTGCCTTCCAATTCCAAATTAATTTTAAAACGAAGGCTGTTGAGAGCTGTCGTGGAATGAAAGCTCCTCCAGCCTCACCAGCTTCTTGATGCTCTTTTTTGGGTGGGTCTGGGGTTCTTTGTGGCAGAAAGGAAAGATAGCTAAAAAGATTTGATTTAGTGTTGCCTTGAAAGGGGAACATGATTCTCCCCTCTTGTTCTCTGGGGCATTTCTCAACCTCATAGCTGTTTTGTATCAGGGTCGGTCGGTTAAGACAAGAAGGTGAAATGTAGGGAGTTGTGTGTGCCAGGTCTGGGTCTTGTGCCAGGTCTGGATCTTGTACCAGGAACTGATGCTGACACTTCTATTTTTAGGTGATTGCGTTTTTAAGGAAAAAAGACAAATTTATTAGCCTGGTGCTAAAGCATATAGACACATCAGCTATGATGGACCTGCTGCTCCGGCTCATCAGCTGCGTGGAGCCCGCCACTCTGCGGCAGGAAGTGCTGAACGTGAGAACTGCTGCCTTTCCCTTTCAAAACTGGGAGCTGGGGGGGTTGTTGCTCCATGCCTTAAAGAAATAGCATTCTTTTTGTCATTAATTATGAGAGGGCTCTTCTGAAAAGGATTTCTCTTGGGGTTAGAGCCTGCAAGTTGGTTCCTCTGGGTACTTCAGCCTGTCTGTGGGTTGCGCGGTGGAGCCTGGGTCAGTCCCTGGCACTGAGGGACTTGGAACTGATTTTTCCAGTTAGCAACCACTGTTTACTCCAGCTGGTTTTGCTGTAGAGCTTTGACAAAGGAAATGTGTAATCTTTCCCAGTATTCAGAATTTGAGACTGATGATTTGGGACAGGGATTTGTTTAATTCCTCACGGGGTGTGTGATTTCTGGAGATGACACCACCTGCCTCCCCTTTCCCTTCCTCTTTACTGGCAGCCTTAGAAAATATCTCATGGAGACACTTAGTTTGCTTCACAGGTAGGACAAGTTTGTTTCCCTTCATAGCCCAGTGTGGGTGAGGCTGCCTCATCCTCCCCCCTTAGTGGGCAGATGTGTAGGACTGGAGGAAAAAAAACCTCCTTTAGCTCCTCTCAGTAAGCCAGAAGAGCAGGGGCTGTGTGGAAAAGTGCCCCAGTCACTGGAGCCCACACCAGGATTTTTAAGTCTTCCATGTTTGGAACATTTTCCACACCAAGGCTGAGCAGGTAAATGTTCTCTGCAGAGACTCAGTATGGATGATTATCAGGCCTCAGTTCCTTCTCTCATCCTTACGATGCCTCACTGCAACATGCTGCCACAGAGCAGGAAGAAAATGCAGGCCCAGATTGATCCTTCCAGGCTTGCACGGCCACTCGCCCATGAAGGGAAGTCTTTTTTGACAGCAAAGTCAGCAATTCACTTGGTCAGGCATCAAATAGCTGGACTCAGAAAGGAGATGGGAGGCAAAAGCCTTCGAGAGGTGAACTGATAGAGAGTATGATGGTGATGGAGGATTCACTGGCAGAGAAAGCAGCTTTGCAGGAAAGGTCCAACCGTGATGTCCCAGGGGTGGCTGGAGGGGTGTTTGCTCCCCTCTGCTCAGTGCTGCTGAGACCCAGCAAGATCCTGGGACCCACCAATGCAGGACAGACATTGCAGGAGTGTGGCATCATAGATCTTCAGTGTGAGGGTGGTGAGATGCTGGTTGTTCAGGGAAGTTGTGGAAGCCCCATCCCTGGAAGTGTTCAAGACCAGGTTGGATGGTGCCCTGATGAGCAACCTGGTCTGGGTTGCTCATGCAGGGGGGTTGGAACTGGATGATCTTTAAGGTCCTTTCCAACCCAAACCATTCTATGATTAAATACAGCTATTTTTTCTTCTGATGTTAAAATAGCATTTGAACTGCAAAGTGTTTTCCTGGATGGGTGGCTTCTGTCCAGGAAACTTGCAAATATCCAGGTTTCCAAATATCTACTATCCATAAACAACAGGCAGATCTGGATGGGTTGTATTTTAACCCCATCATGTCAAGTTGCTTCTACCTGTTAAAGGTGTCACATAGTCAAAGGAAATGAAAACAAAGTGAAGCTCCCAAGAGGTGCTGGAGGTGCTACTAAGGTTGGTTTTTTTACAAATATTCTTGATCTAAGTGTTATCCCCAGCTTTTAAAAATCTGTTTGCTTAAAGATTTCTCCTCAGAAAAAGCAGAAAGTGGTAGAAAGGTTGAAAATTGGGGTTGGGTTTTTAGAGAAGCCACTTATCAGCAATATGGTCAGAAACTTAAGTCTCCAGAAAAGTTAATTTTTGGTCCTGATCTTTGGTAGGTTTTAGAAGTTATAAGTCATGAACTGCTTTAGCTTTTCATCACATCAGGAGAAAAATACTGCCTGCCAGGTAGGGGCTGGGGTGGTTGCTAATAGTTGGTTGTCTCAAAGCAGTCTTTGTATATCTTTGGGATGCTGGGACACCTCAGGGAGGGGTCAGGCTCTTCTGAGTTTTAGCATGAGGAAAATTATTATTACTAATTTTTCAGGAACTCATTCACAGAATCATTCTGGTTGGAAAAGACCAGATCATCAAGTCTAACCAAAAGATCATCACATCCACCCATTAATCTGACTCTACCATGTACAGAGATAACCCATGTCCCTCAGCACCATATCTACATGGCTTTGAAACACTTTCAGGGATGGGGACTCCCCCCTGCCCTGGGCAGCCTGGGCCAGGCCCTGACAACCCTTGCCAGGCAGGAATTGTTCCCCAGATCCAACCTCAACCTCCCCTGGCACAACTTGAGGCCGTTCCCTCTTGTCCTGTCCCTTGTTCCTGGGGAGCAGAGCCCGACCCCCCTGGCTCCAACCTCCTCTCAGCAGCTGCAGAGCCAGCAGGTCTCCCCTCAGCCTCCTTTGCTCCAGGCTCAACACCCCCAGCTCCCTCAGCTGCTCCTCACAAGTTCTCCAGCCCCTTCTCCTTCTGCTCCAGCCCCTTCCCCAGCTCCGGGGCCCTTCCCTGGACACGCTCCAGCCCCTCCAGGTCCTTCTTGTCCTGAGGGCCCAGCCCTGACCTCAGGATTCCAGGTGTCCCCTCCCCAGCACCCAGCACAGGGGGATGATCCCTTCCCTGCTCCTACTGGCCACACTATGGTGACACAAGCCAGGATGCTGGTGGCCTTCTTGGTATTGGTGTACCCTGCTCCTCAATGGTGTCTAAGGAGAGCTGACATTCACAGCATCACAGAATCTTAGGGTTTGGAAGGAACCTGGGAAGATCATCTAGTGCAACCCCCCTGCTGAACAAGATCACCTAGAACACAGGAACGTGTTCAGATGGAGTTTGAAAGTCTCCAGTGAAGGAGACTCCAGAGGATCTCTGGGCAGCCTGTCCCAGGGCTCTGTCACTCCCACAGGAAAGAAGTTTTTTCTGATGTTTACGTGGAACCCCCTGTGCTCCAGTTTGCTCCCATTGCCCCTTGTTCTGTCACTGGACATCACTGAACAAAGCCTGGCTCTGTCCTTCTGACACTGCCCTGAACATATTTGTTGATGAGGTCACCCCTCAGTCTCCTCCAAGCTCAACAGACCCAGCTCCCTCAGCCTCTCCTCAGCAGGGAGATGTTCCACTCCCTTCATCATCTTTGTGGCCAGCAGAACAAGCCTGGCCAGCACCTGCTGTTCCTCCATACTCTGTCCTGAGCTGGACAGAAGCACCATGGCACCAGGAGGCTCCAGATCCAGCAGCCCATGGGCAGGTGCAGTCTGAGTGAAATGACTTGGAGATTTATAAGGCCAGGTTGGATGAGGTTTTGTGCAACCTGGTCTAGTGGGAGGGTTCCCTGCTCATGGCAGGGGGGTGGAACTTGATCTTTAAGGTCCCTTCCAACTTTAATGACTCTGTGACCTGTTGCCTACACTGCATCTTGGCAGCCCTGTCTGCTCCTCCTTTGGATGCTCACAGTTGACAAGACTGGAAGAGTCTTCATCAGACATCTCTAAGGGGGGGCCTTCCAGCAGGCTTGTCCTTCAGGCACCTCATCTTTATGTCCTTGGACAAAACTGACCCATACAGGGGGATGGTGGTGTGTTCTCTTTGATCAGTGTCATTTTTCCTGAAATGTCTCTGGATTTGTGAAAGAAGCAATGTTGGCTTTAGCTAATTTACTCCTTGAGCAGCCAGAAGGCTCAGATTCAGGTCCCTTCTTGAAGCAAGATGCACAGTGTCAACCAGCCTGTCCTCTGCCTGCTGTTAGGGGTGCCTAGGAAAGTGCAAAGAGGCACAGTTGCTATGGGAAGACTCTACATCTGCATGTGCTGGCAAGAACTGGGAGTTTGTGTGAAGCAGATCCAGGTGTTGTGGATTTCTCTTCTGCATTTCATCTCCTTGTGCTTGCCCTGGTGACAGAAGCACAACATCTGTGTGATCCTCATGGAGGAGAGGGAGCCTGGCCTCCTGGTTCAGGTCTGGAGGGAAGAACCTGTTCTAGCTCAGCTGGAGCACAGTGGGTGACTGGGGGCTCAGCTCAGATCCCACCCTGAGGCTACACATTCAACATTCCTGAATCACTTCTTGGTGATCTCTGTTCTTCTGCATAGATAACCTGCTTGTCCTGGCTGGGTCTGTGTCCTCTCCCCAGGTGTGGTGCAGAGCACCAGGTATGGACCATGGCTTCTGCAGAAGCCCCTCCCAAGCCCAGCACCTCTGGTTGAGCTCATCTTCCAGTTTCCACCACTTCTAGCCCAGGTATCCTGTACCCTGTTAGTGAGTCCAACAGGGATAGTGACCAGAGCGCAGAAAAAACCCTCCTGCACCTTGACCTGCTGTTCTGCTTTCATGGGTAACAAACTGCAGGAATGAAAAGACCCTGTTCTTCCTGCCCTCTTCACCCTACAGAAACTGCCCCCAGAGCTGGACTAGGCCAACGCAGAAATCTGACCCCTTGTAGTGAGAGGACAAGGGGGAATGGATTAAAACTGGAGGAGGGAGCTGGAGCTGAGATGTGAGGGAGAAATTCTGGGCTGTGAGGGTGGGGAGAGCCTGGCCCAGGTTGCCCAGGGAAGCTGTGGCTGCCCCATCCCTGGGGGTGTTGAAGGGCAGGTTGGATGGGGCTTGGAGCAGCCTGGGCTGCTGGGAGGTGTCCCTGCCATGAGACTGGATGAGCTCTAAGGTCCCTTCCCACCCAAACCATTCCATGATTCTGTGAACATGGTTAGGTACAAACTCCTCAGCTGGCAGGTGGTTTTTACATGAGGTAACAAACAGGCTGAAATTCTCACTGTACCATGGCCATGGAGCTCCCTGTTTGAAGCAAGGGAACTTGCAGGTGACACTGGGTGCCAGGGTTCTGGGTTTTATTGAGCTGTGCAGTTTGTTAGCACTGTGGGAACAGCCAGAGGCTGCAACCACAGCGAGGGCTGGTGGTCGTGGGGCTGTGCAGCCGTGGGGTGAGCACGTGGGGATGCACAATGGAACATGTCAGTCCAGCCCAGGGAGATGAGAGGGGGTTGGTTGGGTTGTTAGAGCTTGGCAGGAGGCACCGTGGGTGGGTCTGAGCAGCTGTTTTTTGGAAGGTAGAAATGAGGAGAACTGCTTGAGTCTTGATGAAGCTGTTGGGGTGAATTGCCAGTTGGCAACGACCTGAGCTGTCCCAGGAGGACTGGCAGGAGGGGCTTCAGTCTGATCCAAGCACAGGGAGATGGGAAGAGCTGAACGGAGACCAAGGGAGCCAAGAGAGGATGGACAGTGGCTTTGCTGGTGCAGTGAAGGTGGCAACACTGGAGCATTAAGACAGAGCAGGGATCAACTCTACTGTGAATGTCTTGAGAAGGTGGTTCGGAGTTTAATTTTGCTGCTGAGACACTAGAAACCAGTGGAAGAACCTGATGAGGTGTGTTGGGAGAGAGACTGGTGAGAAAAATACCTTAGGAACCGGGTTTTTGAATTTTGGGGTAAACTGGGTATCATGAAGAAGTTGCAGAAACCAGATCTGAAAATTAAGTCTTGAATGAGGTGCTTGGTTTCCCAGCTGGATGCTGAGAGGAGTTTTGCACAATGTTAGTATTTCCCCAGTAATAAGGGACACCAGGAAGGAGACAAACATGCAGACATTCCAGGTTTGGTAGGACAACAGCAGTGTTGGTCATGGCTGAAGGCACTAAGATGGTGCTCTGGGATTTTTGTTTGAAGTTGGGTATGTCCATCATCATCAACATGGCATCGTGGAGCAGAGGGTGAGATCTGCAGGAAGGTTGATAGAGAAGGTGGTTGGAGTGAAGAAGGATTATAGGTAGTCATGGGAATAGATAACACAGAAATGAGCATTCAAGAGAGAAGATCTGCACAGAGCCTTCTGGTAAAGAAGTGGAAGGCAGGAGACTGTTCATTTTCTCCATGACTCATCTCAAGAGTGATGGAAGGTATCATGTCAGTGCAGAAGCTTCCAAAGTCTTGTTCTTTTCATGTTTGGTCAGTCATTTCCAAAGCAACAGAGAATGAATCTGTTTGTCTGATTTGACTGATCAGTTTGATTGATGTCAGACATCCAGCCATTGGCCTGGGGTGGAGACCATAGAAATTGGAGTGAAAATGGTTGGATGGGAATAAAATGTTGAGTTTGCAGATGGGAAAGGGGAAACTGGAAGGGACTGTTTGCTGATGATGTACTTGGATTGCATGTGGTCAGGAAAGGGAGATGAGGGGACAGCCTGCAGGGAGGAAGGGAAGTCCTCTGCAGTTGGCACAGAGCATGAGATGAGGTGTAACCACCACTGTGGGGTCATCTCAAAGGTTGAGGACTTTAGTGTGAACAGTGGCAAGGCTAAGAGGAGGTGATAGGAGAGGAACATGTTGATAATTACGCTAATGCTGCTTCAGAGGAGACAATGTTTGACTGACCTGTTCCATGTTTTCCAGAGGAATTGAGGGTTCCAGGTCCCTGGACAGGCTGTAGATGCTGATGCAAATGAAAATGCATCTCTCAGTGCCTGGGGGAGCTGTTCCTGCCTGGGGGAGCTGTTCCTGCCTGTGGCTTTGGTTATGGAGCAGAAGGGAAGGACTTTCCAACTTTCTAGACAAGCCCATGTTGTGCAGAGCTTCCCCAAGAGCCTCTTGATTTGAATTGATACCAACCCAGGATTATCTTTTCCCCTTCCTTTCCCTGCAGTGGCTAAATGAAGCAAAGATTATTCAGAGACTCGTGGAGCTGATCCATTCAAGCCAAGATGAGGACGTGAGTATGACAAGACCAGGATTTGCCTTGGGTGGGTGGTGGGTCCTGCAGGGCCCAGAAGAATCTCCCTCTGTCTCTTCAGTAATGCCCAGGTGACTTCTGGAAGGAGCTGATCTGGCTGGGTGACCATCCTGTCCTCTGGTTGCCAAGCTCAACACTAACATGTGTTGCTGTATTTTTAATCTGGTTTTGACTCCTTTTACTGCCAGTCTCTTAGTTCATCTGCTGCTGCATCAGTTCCTCTCAGCAGCCACTGGAACTCACTTGGTTTCAGAAGGGAGCAGCTATTTGAAACAGGCTGTTGAAACACATTTTAATTACCAGTTTGCTGTAACTTTCAGTTCTTTTTAGACTACAAGTAAGTAGGTATTTTGACATAAAATGTGCAAGATACAGTTCTCTGAGCCTGTGAGAAGGACCTGCTGAGAGTTAAGTGCTCTTTTTCCCTTTATTTCCCCCCCATAATCTTTACAAACCATGAGCTCTAGATTTCAGTTTCCTACACTAATATTTCACATTTGGGTGCTGAGCAGGACAACCCATAGAACCTGCCCTGGCTTGGGCACTTGGTACCAGATCCCTGTGGGTGCCAGCAGCAAAGAACTGGGTGGCACAGGATTCTTCTGGTATAGTGTTAGTGTGATTCCCTCCTCATCACAGCAAAAATTGCCTCTCTTGAGAGGAAGAATGTGGGAAGCAAGGTGCAGATTTGGGCACCCTCTGCTGAGCTGCCCAAGGAGGGAAGACTCACCCACAGCTCAGGGTGCACATCCAGGAGCTGCAGAGGGTCATTGGTTGAGGGGCAGAATGAGAGGATTAATTTATCAAAATACGACTTTAAAGCCTTTTAATACATAGTAATGAAATTGTATCAAGTAATTTATGTTTCTTTGTGCAGGAAACCCCCTGAGTACTGAGACCAGAGAATGAGGAGCTTGTGTTTGAAATTTGCAAGTTAACACAGTTGGTCTGGGAGGGAAAAAGCAGAATTCTCACTTTCTGAAACCTTTACCTGCATTTCATTGCCAGGTTCAGGAAGGCCTCTTCTTTAGTTTTAAAACCTGTTCATGCTTCTAATAATTTGCACCAGGGTTATATTTAACAGATGAATGATCTAGAGCCCAGCAGTGCCTGCTCTGGGAGTTCCTGCTTTATTCTGTTCCTTGTGGCCCCACCTGCGTTACGTGATCCCTGGCAGCAGAATGAGCCACATGGAGGCACTGGCACTGAGGTGTGGTCTGTGTTCTTCTTTGCAGAGGCAATCAAATGCTTCCCAGACCCTGTGTGATATCATCAGATTGAGCAGAGACCAGAGCAATCAACTCCAGGATATACCTGAGCCTGATCCACTTCTCACAGCACTGGAATCGTAAGTACTTGTCAGAGAACTGTTGCCAAACTAATTGCTACTAGTATTGTCCCTGACTGATTGCTCTCAAGAGACACAGACCAGCAGTGAGTAGTCCTAAGCTTCTGCTTAACTCTTGGCATTTGTCCCAACCATTTAGTGTCATTTTTAAACTGCAGCCTCACTGAGTTGCCTGTCTTGAGGTTCTTGGGGTTTGTAGCTCTGTCTGAAGGCAGGAGGTTGGGGTTGGTGATCCCCAAAACTCACAACCTCATTCAGGACAAGGCAGTACTGGTGAGTGTGTCAGAACACTAGTAGTGAGTGTGTCAGAACACTATGAGTCAAGTACCATGGCAGTGGTTGAGGGAAATCCCATAAAGGCCAATCTTCCTGTTCCTGGCTTGAGGCTGTTCCTTGGTGGCAGGAGTGACTCAGGTGCAAAGATTCAGCCACACTTGGCCAAGCAGTGACTGTTGTTCCTCCCTGGTAAATGTGTTGCCCCATGTGGGCACATTTCAGATCTTCAAGTTGCTGTTCATCAAAATGGGGAAGAAAATGCTGAGCCAGCAGGAGGAGCTGCTCACTGTAGTAGGTCACACGTCACCATGCACTTTGTTTGGTGTGGGGCAAATCCTGCCCTGCAGCCTGGCTGGGCTCCTGCCACACTGAGTGTCCTCTGCCCTGCTGTTTGGGGCTGCTGAGGTAAATACCAGTGAAGACTTCTGAACTTAGGGGAACCTTGGGTGGCCTGTGCTTCCACAGAGATGAGGTGATGCTGGGGCCCCTAAAACACCACAGGCTGCCTTCCTCTTCCCCTGCAGGATGAATCCCCCTGCTCTTACTCTCCAAAGGTGGCTGAGCCCTGAAGCCTCCCCTGCACACTGGAAATGCCTCCCTAGTCCTCCCTGGTCCTTCATGAGGTGTATTTGTGGCTAGATGGTGACAGTTGAGATCTCATCTCTGGGTGCTATCCCTGTGGATCCTTTAATGCTTCAGAGTTGGTGTCAGCTCATCCCTGTTCCTCAGGCCTCTGTCACCCATGACCACCCTGAGCTCTTTGTGTCCCAGAAACACAGAATCACAGAATGGTGAAGGTTGGAAGGAACCTTAGAAGATCATCAGATCCCACCCCACCTGGTATGAGCAGGGACACCTCCCCCTAGACCAGGCTGCACAAAACCTTGTGCAGAGCTTCAGTTGGAGACATGTCCCAGGGCATACACCTCATTGTGTGGTCACTTCCTACCTTCCCATTGACCAACTTTGCAGAGAAGATTTGTGAATAGAAATGTTACTGTCTGTGATGGGGGCTGGGAGTTTGGCTGGTAAAAGGTGAAAAGGTCTTCTGGTTCATGAGTGTGTTGTCCTGTTGGCACATGGTCTGGTGTGACTGGCTTGAAGGTGACCTGTCACTACAGTGGTGGTGGGTCATCTAGTGAATGCCACCACTTGGGAACTGTTGGGGTGGGGTTTTTGTAAAGATGTCACCTACTCCTGAAATGGTACTAGGCACAGTTGGCAGAAGGAGCCTTTGTTGTGCAGGGGTTTGGCTTTGGGTGGAAGGTGCTCTCTGGGCAAAAGGGTGTAAGGATGCTTGTGGTCCCAGCTGGTGGTGCTCAGCACCTCCTGCCAGAACCTGCCCCTTGTGTGTCCAGGCAGTTTGAGGGAAACTTGGAAGAATTTTTTTAAATTTAATTTAAGAATTTTAATTTTAAATGAAAGTTTTGTGTAGCTCTGGAGCCCTGCACTGTGTGGGGTAGAAGGTCTTTCCTGAGAGCCTCTGTGACACTAGGGGGAGAATTTCTCCAGGGAATCAGCCAAAGCTGCAGTTTGAAGCTTGGCTCATGCCTTGCTCATATGGGCTTTAGCCTTTCCCCCATCCCCTTGCTCCCTCCCCATCACCCTCTGCCCTGCTGGGCTCAAGCACAACCTGTAACTTCCATGAGATAAAGACAAATATTTTTGCTCTTTCAGAGCACTTTTCTAAAAGCCATTGTGCCACTTCACTGCTTAGGAAGAAAAATATTTTGGAATAAAAGGTGATTTTTGCACAGCCTGCCCCTCTGCTGCAGGTCCCAGCTCATTACTTTCCTTGGCCAATTTTCCAAGCATTACTGGGAACCTTTGTTGATCTTTGGATGACTTTTTCAAAATCTGTGGGTCATGAATTAATGATCAGCTAGTGCAGCAAGAAGGAGTCATGATCAGGGTTGTGGAATAAATATCAGATTTTCAGTAACTGTTGGCTGCTTAATCACAGTAATCTGTGATTTCTTTTTCCTGACTCTGCCTCTTGTGCTGGTGCTGATGGAGTGGATTTCGATGCCACTTGTTAAAATAATTGTCTCTCATGAATTATTCATGTGTATTATAGTTTTATCTCATGTTTTATTTATGTAAATATAAATGAGGTTGTTGGGTTTTTTTTCAAATGTTAGAAAATAGTAAAAATGAGACTGTGAACTTGAGTACCACAGTTTTAGCTGGACGTGTGACTCAGTCCAGAAGAGGCACCTGCTGACTGCAGGGCTTTGGAGAGCTGAGTGTGAAACCAGAGTCACCGTGGCAGAGTCTGAGTGCAGGGCTGGAAACAGGCCCTGCTGCCCTCCAGTCACTGAGGATGGAGCAGCAGTCCCAGCCTAAACCTCCTTCCCTCCTGTCTATTACCCACTTTGTGGGTGCTTTTTATTTTTGTGCTAATTCTTCTTCAATTCCAAGGCCGTGTCAGAATGATTTGCTGGGCTGGAACAGGCAGCCTTGTGGTGTGTTCCAGCTCCAACAGTCTCAGCACCTCACGTGGTGATTCCTCCACCTGGCCCCAAATCTGTCAGTGTTTGGAAGGCTTCTCAGCCTAGTTTAAGGGCTTAAAGAGATGAAAATATTTCAAGGGGATAATAGCTAAGACTACTGAAAAGGTACCTATTATTTACAGTTTGCATTCGTTGCCTTCTGTTCCCAGGTCCTGGCCCATCTTCTGCCAGTGGCAAATGCTAAGGGGTAGCTCCCCCTGTTTGTTGTCCTTCATCTGCAGCTCTGGTGGATGATTTGAGCCTCTCAGCTCATGGCTTCATGTTGGCTTGAACAAACTGAATTGACTGAGTTTACATTTGGGTTGAGTTTCAGTGTGTAATTAGGAGGTATATCCTGGAGATCAAGGAGAACAGCATTCAGGTTGGAGTCCAGGTGTCTATAACTGGGTCTTACTGATAAAGAAGCAAGCTCAGTAACCTGGTCTAGAACCTTTCTTCTCATGTGAGACTGAGAGGAATGGCTTTATTCTTCCTCAGATAAAAGGATAAATCGCAACCTCCTTCCTCAGGAGACCCAGAAGTGGATATTTTGTGATTAAAGCAATTGCCAAATACTTGTAATTCTTACACTGCTGGTGTGTGTTGGTCAACAGGCAGGAATGTGTGGAGCAACTCCTGAAGAACATGTTTGATGGAGAACAGACTGAAAACTGCATAGTGAATGGCACACAGGTTCTCCTGACACTGCTGGAAACGCGGCGCTCTGGGTGAGTCCCCGCGCGCTGCTCGGGCAGCAGCAGCTTCTGCAGCTCCAGCCCAGTTCTGCTGAGGCTGAAAGAGGGGATTTTTTGCCTGGTCTGAAGTGCTGTCCAGAAATGAGGACAAGAAAAGCTGCTTGGGTTTTTCAGTGCAGTGGCTGGACCACCTCCTGGCAGTTGTACAAGCTGGGAACTGGGCCCTTCTGTGAGGGTTTCTGGTTCTCCTGCACATGTGCAGGGAGGTCTTGTTGGTAACCATAGAATCATGGAATCACAGGGGGGTTTGGGTTGGAAGGGACCTTAAAGCCCATCCAGTTCCAACCCCCCTCCATGGGCAGGGACACCTCCCACCATTCCAGGCTGCTCCAAGCCCCATCCAACCTGCCCTTCAACACCCCCAGGGATGGGGCAGCCACAGCTTCCCTGGGCAACCTGGGCCAGGGGCTCCCCACCCTCACAGCCCAGAATTTCTCCCTCCCATCTCAGCTCCAGCTCCCTCTGCCAGCTGGAACCCCTTCCCCCTGCTCCCATCCCTCCCTGCCCTTGTCCCAAGCCCCTCCCCAGCTTTCCTGGAGCCCCTTCAGGCACTGGAAGCTGCTCTCAGGGCTCCCTGGAGCCTTCTCTTCTCCAGGCTCAACACCCCAACTCTCCCAGCCTGGCTCCAGAGCTGCTCCAGCCCTCCCAGCATCTCCGGGGCCTCCTCTGGCCTCTCTCCAGCAGCTCCATGTCCTTCTGGTGTTGGGGTCCCCAGAGGTGGCCCCAGCCCTGCACGGGGGTCTCATGAGAGGAGGACTATCCCCTCCCTTACCCTGCTGGTCACAATGCCTAAAACTCAAAATAAACCTGCCCTGTCCCTGAGGATGAAGGAAGACACTGAAATTCTCATTTTCTAAAAAAGGAGGGACTAAGGAAGGGTGAATAAGGTAATGGCAGATCAGAAAGAGGTGCTGGAGAGCAGGACAGAGCAGGCACTGGGCAAAGTTGTTGGGTAGAAAGTCACATGTAGAATTGAAAACAAAAACCTGAGATCTGAATTCTGCTGTGTCTTGTGCCCAGGATCTCTGCAGGTGATGAACTGGAGCCTTGGGGGTTCCCACCAAGCCCATTTCTACCTTCTTGCAATGACATCTCATTACTGAAGTGTTTCTTTTACTCCCATGTGAGACCTGGCTGTTGGAAAGGGCTGGAGGTGGTTGGTGGAACGTGCTGCCTGCCAGTGAGGGGTGGGATTCTGAGCACAGCCAGGGGCTGCTCAGGGGCTGCAGCAGCTGCTGTATCTCTGTGCATCTTTCTGAACACCTGGGGAAGGTTCACAGTTTTTCACAAATGTTTATAGTATCATTTGCTTGTCAAATGTTTGGGAAGTTTGAAACACCAGGAAACACTTGAGTTGTATGTCAGCTCTGCAGGCAGGTTATTGTCTGCCTTCCCACCCACCTCCTGCACAGCTCTGATTACCTGCAGATCATCTTGTAAATCATATATTGATACACTGCAATTATGTAAAGATCTTCAGTAGCTGGAAATTACTGTTTTTCCTTTTCATAGTTATTTTTCCAGAGAAAATTACCAACGTGGACAGTGTGACTGGAGATGGTTTGTAGATGTTGTCAAATCTTCCCTGTTGTGCTCTTCTCTACAGGGTGGAAGGACTGATGGACTCGTACACTCAGGGATTTGAAAGGTCTTACACTGTCAATAGCAGCATCTTGCATGGGATTGAACCAAGGCTAAAGGATTTCCACCAGCTGCTGCTCAGCCCTCCCAAGGTAAAGCATCTCAGCCTTTCTCAGGAGGAAATGGCTCATCACCTGCTTTCTGGGTTTCCCTCTCCTGATGCACAGATTCCTGGGGATTGTCTGAATTCTCCCTCTGCTGGGGCAGGCAGTTGTCTCTTGAAGAAGAAGTCACACTTAATCCCATCATGGGGTTGGTTTGAGTGGGAAGGGACCTTAAAGATCACCCAGTGCCACCGCTCCCAGCATCCCAGGCTGCTCCAAGCCCCATCCAACCTGCCCTTCAACACCCCCAGGGATGGGGCAGCCACAGCTTCCCTGGGCAACCTGGGCCAGGCTCTCCCCACCCTCACAGCCCAGAATTTCTCCCTCCCATCTCAGCTCCAGCTCCCTCTGCCAGCTGGAAACCCTTCCCCCTGCTCCCATCCCTCCCTGCCCTTGTCCCAAGCTCCTCCCCAGCTTTCCTGGAGCCCTTTCAGGCACTGGGAGCTGCTCTAAGGTTTCCATGGAGCCTTCTCTTCTCCAGGCTGAACCCCTCAACTCTCTCAGGTTTAAGGTGTAGGATCAGGTGTTTCAGGACTAGGAAGCAGGAATTTAAAGCCAGTACAAGGTGTTTGAGTAAAACAAAGAAGTAGACACATGTTGGGACTGGTGGCTTGTGTAAAGTTGGTGAGGGAGTGAAGAGAAAGTAGCTGGTTAGTTAGTGGATATTTTGATTTTAATCCTCAGTTCTGGAAGTCAAATCTCACAGTAATGACACAACAGTGTCCTCTGGGTAGGAAGGTGGGTTAGGTTTATCTCAGAGAACATCTCTGAAATGAACTAGTTAGTTTAGTCAGATCATGGTGCATATAGACCCAGGGAAGTGCTGAGCTTTGCTGAGGTGTTCATTGTCTGTTTCCCTGACAGAAAACAGCAATCCTGACTACAATTGGTGTCTTGGAGGAGCCTCTGGGGAACGCGCGTCTTCATGGCTCTCGCCTGATCGCTGCTCTGCTTCACACAAACACTCCCAGTATTAATCAGGAACTATGCAGACTCAGTACCATGAACTTATTACTTGTGAGTAATAACACAGTGGGACCCTGAGTGGGGACAGGGGAGCAGCTCTTCCCTGGGAACAGTTTTCTCCCCCTTTCCTCTGTTTCAGTGCAGGGTAGTTTGTTCCTTGTGTGTTGATGTCTAATTGGTTTTCTCATCTGCTGAACACAGATCTCAGAAGAGCTTTTGTCATACAAATACAGGAACTATTTGGAGCTGAACCTCATGCTCCACATTTCTGTTTAGAGCAGTTCAGTCGTGTGCACCAAACCTGTCTGGTCATGGGGAGAACCTGGGTGGGTTGGAGCTGCTCTTGTCACACTGAGAGCTGATCTGGCTGTGAACAGGGACCTGGTGGGAAAACTGCCTGTCTGACCTGGGCAGTCTGTCAGAGAATTGGTTTTATACTTAGAAATCATTTAGTTAATATTTGTCTCATGAGGAGTCCAGCCACAGAAGAGGGAACAGTTTCTGAGTGTGTGTGCTGAGGTTTGGGTGTGCATGTGCTGCCACTGTGCTCACTTTGTTGGGAATTGCAGCAGAGCACAGGCAGCTCTAAGTGGATTCTGGGGCATTTAGGGAAATTTGTTTTAGTGAAATTGCTGATGAAACAACTAGTTGGGAAGTGTTCTCATATCATTTGGTTGTTAAGAATGGGAGGATTGATCCAGAGTGAATTTTTTTGTTTCCCATTGTGTTCCAGGATTTATTTTTTAAATACACGTGGAATAACTTTTTGCATTTCCAAGTGGAATTGTCCATAGCAGCTATTCTCTCACACTCTGTGCAAGAGGGAAAAACTACTGCTAATGACCTAGAGAGCAAAGAAGAGGTGCTGAATGGAAACGTGGCCACAGAGAACACAGGGACTGCAGGAAACACCACCGAGAACCTCATGGTTACTCATGTAAGTGTGGTTGTGTCACTGAGCACTGCAGGCTGGTTGGTGCTGCCTCCAGAGGCAAGAACCTTGTTTGAGGAGAGCAGGGAGTTTATTTAAAGTGTCTGGGTACAACTTGGGTCTGTCATTTCTGGGTGGAAATGCATTTGCTTTTATACCTTTGGTTTTAGGCCCCAGTTGCAGAATCAAGATCCCACCCCTCTCACTCAGAGGGCCTGGAAGCCACTGCTGTTTCATTCCTTAGTAAAGGTGCATTTCAGTTTGCACACAGAAAATAATAACTGCAAATCAGTAACTACATTGGGACTTCTGCATCGTGGCCCCAGTGGTGAACGTTTTTCATTGTGTTTGTAAAATGACACCAATGTTCCTCGTGGCTGCTCAGGTGCAGCCCAGAAGCAGCTGGAGGTGGTTTTAGGGATTGCTCCTTTCCCTGCATCCTCTGAGAAGACAAAGAGAGAAAGAAGAAACTTGGATCTCTTGGGAGGGAGAAGTGCTGAACTTCAAGTTCTTGTGGGAACAAACAAAAGTAACTCCAGCTCAGTGCAGACTTCCTGAGGCATGAGTCTGTCTTTGGCAAACTTCTGAAATGTTCTTCCCATCTCTTTTCTTTCCCCTCCAGCTGTTCCAGAAGTGCTGCCTCGTGCAAAGGATACTGGATGCCTGGGAAGCCAATGACAAAATACAGTAAGGGAGCTGGGGCTCAGGAGGCTCTTCTTGTAGGGCTGCAGGTTTCTAGTGTGGCCTTGAAATATTCTTCCCATTATTTGGATCACTTATTTTGAGCCTGTGCAAAATTATTTAGGTTTCAGTTGTGATTTGAAATTAGGATCATTTGCATGTTAAAAAGCAGATTCACCCAGTATCATTTGGCATGTCATTTGAAAGCATGGTTTTCCATGTCAAGAATCAGAACAAACCAGCCCAGATACACAGTAGGGATCTTTGCTGCATCCTCAGGAAATCACATGGCACATGAGTTATACACAGAGTATTCACTTTAAAAAGCATATTTATATTTCCCTAGAGTGAGCAGCTGTGGGGAAACTGAGGTGGGTAAGAATTTAGCTCCAGATTTGCCCCACATTTAATACTCTTCACTTTACAAACCACTTGGGTTTCAAGCTGATTGCAAAGATAAGAACTAAATAATTAGAAAAAAAACCCTGAAAGAGTTAAAATGAAGATATTATCCAGGCTTCTGTTTCAATGTCCATCAAAATGTTTGGTCCTCCCTCACTATTTTGAGCTCTTCATGGCTTCAAAATGCTTTGTAGCCCCACTACAATTATTTCAGGCTGTTAAACCATAATTGGTGGGTTGAGGTTTGGTTTGGTTGGATTGGTTTGTTGTTTGGTTTGGTTTAGTTTTGGTTTGGGATCTGTTTTTTTTTTCCCTTCCTGCAATCCCTTGGGCTGTTGTGACAAGTTTTGCTGACAGTTTTATTGCACAACTATCATGGGGCACAGTTTTGTAGGTGAAAAAGATCTGTGGTTGCAGCTTAACAGCTTTCTTAATTAAATTAGATAGGAACTGGAGCTCATACATATTTCATGCCAAACAGTTCCAGACCCCATGTTGGAAAGAATTTTAATGGCAAGAAAAAACATACTGAGTGAACAGGGAGGTGTCTGGGCTGGGGGGCTTGAAGCAGCTTGAGTTTATACGAAGGTTGTTGTCAAGCACTGGGAGCCCCAGGGGCAGAGATTCCAAACTCAGAGCTTGGGAATTAGTTCTTAAAAATCAGCAGCAGGAGTGGTGGGAACATATTTTCCTGTTGTATTCCTGGGACATGGAATTTCTCCTTGGTTTTAGTGGAATTCTGTGTAGTTTTAGTTACTGGGTATGTTCTTGGTGAAGGACTCTCTGAACTGCTAGAATTCAACTTCCAGGTAACCCACATAGTTCTATCTCTGCAGTTCATTTGATCTCCCTGGGTAATGAGAACTGAGAACAAGCCTGGTCAGTGAGAGATGATGGGAAACCACAGTTTACTCTGGCACTTCTTTTCCCCTTCTTATTCATGTAAATGTAATAACCAGTTGGGACAGGGTTGATAGAAAGTATTTGAAAGCATTGAAATAAAAGTTAATATTGTTCAAAATAAAAGTAAATATTTCCTACAGGAAAGCTGAGGAGGGACTTTGCACTAGAGAGGGCAGTGATGGGAGCAGGGGGAAGGGTTTCCAGCTGGCAGAGGGAGCTGGAGCTGAGATGGGAGGGAGCAATTCTGGGCTGTGAGGGTGGGGAGAGCCTGGCCCAGGTTGCCCAGGGAAGCTGTGGCTGCCCCATCCCTGGGGGTGTTGAAGGGCAGGTTGGATGGGGCTTGGAGCAGCCTGGGCTGCTGGGAGGTGTCCCTGCCCATGCAGGGATGGCACTGGGTGATCTTTAAGGTCCCTTCCCACCCAGCCCAGTCCATGATTCCATGCCTGCAGGTCTGCTGTCAGCATCCAGCAGTGGGTTCAGGACTGCTCAGCTCAGACAAAACCTTGTGTAGTCCCTCCCAGAGCTGGAGGGACAGAGTTGGAGCAGACAGCTCCAGCAGTGCTGGGCCTGCTTGTGCCACCCCTCCCCTTGGATTGCTGAGCAAGCTGAGCTTGGCAGGTTTGCTGGAAACCATAGATGTCCTGGAGAGCCCCAGGACGGTGCTGGCAGAGCATGCAAGAGTTTGTCTGGGCTTCTCAGCACCTGAAAGGCAGAAATGCTGCTTCTAAACATGTCTCTGTGACATTTCTTACCCCTCAGCTGCCACCAGGGCTCACATATTTCTTCCTAAATGTCATCAGTCTCAGCTCTGAGCGTGGCTGGGCCATGACAGTGGTTATGACCATTACCCTGGTGGTGACCATCACCCTGGGGTTCCCATGCCTGGTGGTGACCATCACCTTGGGGTTTCCATGCCTGGTGGTGACCATCACCCTGGGGTTCCCATGCCTGGTGGTGACCATCACCCTGGGGTTTCCATGCCTGGTGGTGACCATCACCCTGGGGTTCCTGGTCATGTTGCTACTGGCTGTTTCTCTTCTCCAGGGCAGAAGGTGGCATGAGACGGGGCAACATGGGCCACCTGACCCGCATCGCCAACGCGGTGGTGCAGAACATGGAGAAGGGCCCCATGCAGACCCAAATTAGTGAGTTCATTAAAGGTACGTGCTCCCTTCTCCCTTCCTTTTTTCTTGATGAATCACCCTTGCAGGCCTTTCAGAAAAGCTTTTCTTGCATCTGTTTGGAGAGGGTCCTTTTTATAATGAAAAGAATTTCCAATTAATGATCACAACTTCCCATGATGTAAAAACTGCATCTGGACCCAACTTGGTTGCTCTTCATTTTCACACAATTCTACTGAAATTGTTGGAACTTGGTTTTTGCAGCTGGAGGTTGGAGGAACCTTGTGCTTCTTTTCACCTGGATTTATATTTACAGGGCCTTGGAGGGTGTTTATAAATGGTGTTTCTGTGCCTCCTGGCTCTTGTACCTGTCCCAGAGGAGGAGATACCAGAGTAGACAATGGCACAGTCTCAACATGTCCCCTTTGCTGGAGACACCCCCACTGCCAGGCTCTGTCCATCAGGCCTTCATCAGGCTTTGAGAGCTGCTTCTGCCTGACGTGTGTGTGAGAGGAAATGAGATTTTCTACCCGTGGGCACAGAGATGGGTTGAGTTTCTATTTTTGGCCTCTGACAAATAGATGAAATGGTGACACAGGAACATGGGGTGTTGTCAGGTCTACGTGAGAATGGAGAAGTCTCAAATGTTGCAGTAAAGACTGAAAGTTCCACCATTCAGGGTTATTTCTCTCTGTTGTTTTACTGTCGTGGGGCTGGGTGGGATGAGGAGAACTTCATTCCCAGCAACCAGGGACTGGGGGGGATGGTCTTTCCAAGGTAGCTCCTGCTCAGAGACTGGCCAAGCATCAGTCTGCTGGAGGGAGGTGCTGAGTGAGTGTCTTCACATCGCTCCTTTTGAGGTTTTTTCCCCCTCTTTTCCCCACTTACTAAGCTTCCTTTATCTCAACCCATGAGTTTTTCCTCACTCTTGGCCTTCTAATTTTCCCTCCATCCTGCTGTGGGGTGGAGGGAGTGAGCAGCTGGGTGGGTGCTCAGTGGCTGGATGGGGTCAACCCAACACAGTCACCAGGAAATAAAAGGAAGAAATGAGGTGGCTGAATCACCATCCCTGGAGGGGTTTGAAAGCCATGTAGATGGTGCTGATATGGGTTAGTGATGGCCTTGGCAGGGCTGGGGTAACAGTTGGACTTGATGATCTCAAAGGTCTTCTCCAACCAAAGTAATTCAGTGGTTATATGAAAAAAGTAGAGCTTAAGGCACGTGTGTGGATTTCAGAAAGCTCATAAGAGTCATGGAAGGGTTTGGGTTGGGAGGGACCTTCAAGATCATCCCAATACCCCTGCAAGGGCAGGGACACCTCCCACTAGACCAGTTTGCTCAAAATCCCATCCCATGTGGCCTGGAACACTTCTGGGTATGGGGCAGCCAAGTTGTACAAGTTTTGTGTCTTTAGAAAGATGTTCCTTTCTCTGCAGAATTTGCCAGTTTTAGAAAATGACGAAGAAAACGTGTTGGACTTTGCAGAGCACTTAGCTCATGGGTAGGGGGCTGTGTCTGCTCCAAACCCTCCAGGTCACCTGTGGGGCTGAGTGACTTCTCATGAGTTGTGGTTGATGGTGACCTTCTCATTGCAGAGCTACCTGAGGACTGCAGAGGGAGGTGGGAGAGCTTCGTGGAGGAGACGCTGACGGAAACAAACAGGAGGAACACGGTGGATTTGGTGAGAAGAGTGATCCTTTGCCTGCTTTGGACAGGTTGTCTTCTGGGCTTTGTTTGCCTGAAAGGGAAGAGATCTTGCTGGGGTTTTGTGCTTCTTCTGGTTGTTTTTGTGAAGTGGCCTTACAGAGGCAGAGTGTTTGTAGGAAACCTCCATGCTAGTCCTTCCAGCAGCACCTCTGATCCATGTTGAGCTCTGATCCTGTTCCTGTGTTACTCACTGGGACAGTTTCTGCCTTCTGGAGAGTTTGCTCTTTGTATGTGTGGGATAAAAGTGTCTGAGCTTTCTTAGCTGTCATTTGTGCTTATCTTCTTGTCCTTCTTTCAGGTGAGCACTCACCATCTGCACTCTTCCAGTGAGGATGAAGACATTGAGAGTGCTTTTCCCAATGAACTTTCTCTCCAGCAGGTGAGTTGCCAACATGCTCTTTACTGTTCCTGGGAGGGTTGTTTCTGTGCTCCACCCTTGATCCATCCTAGTGTAGAGCAGCTTCCTAAATTTCACTCTTCTTCAGTGTGTTCAGCTCTTTGATGTTTCTCCAGTAAGTTACTTGCATGGCCCAGACTCCAACTGGGAATAAATTTAGCTCAGACTGCAGGGCCAGTCACAGAGACATGAGGAGGGTGGGGAGCCCCTGGCCCAGGTTGCCCAGGGAAGCTGTGGCTGCCCCATCCCTGGCAGTGTTGAAGGGCAGGTTGGATGGGGCTTGGAGCAGCCTGGGCTGCTGGGAGGTGTCCCTGCCCATGCAGGGCTGGTAGTGGATGATCTTGAAGGTCCCTTCCAACCCAAACAAATCCATGATTCTGTGGTTCCATGATGTGCCACATTCCTGAGGCACTGCAGATTTCTTGCTCTGTCCCTGGTTCTTTCCACACTTGGCTGATGGGTGGTCCTGGTGGTGCAGACCAGCTGCTGGAGTTCCCAGCCAAGGAGGTGCTGTGCATCCCCTACCTTCAGCAGGCCCAGAGTTGCTGGAGGGCTTCTGCTTCTCCTCAGACTGTGCAGATGTCTGTTAGAAACCATACTGATGTGCAGCAGTTAACAGGGGCAGTGGGAGCAGCAAAAAGCCTTGACCTGGGAAGAAGTGAAGGTAATTAAGGGCTCATTTACATTTAGCAAAGATCTTGGGATCCTCAAAATCTGAGGGACTCTGCTACAGCTCCAGCAAACCTATGGAAGCTGCTTCTCAGGGTGAAGTATTTAATTAAGTTCTTCCAACCTTTTTTGAAGCCAAGAACACACAGAGCATTAACAGAACATACGGATTTCATATGGAACATATGGAATGGTTGGTTGGAAGGGACCTTAAAGATCATCTAGTTCCAACCCCCCTGCATGGGCAGGGACACCTCCCAGCAGCCCAGGCTGCTCCAAGCCCCATCCAACCTGCCCTTCAACACCCCCAGGGATGGGGCAGCCACAGCTTCCCTGGGCAACCTGGGCCAGGCTCTCCCCACCCTCACAGCCCAGAATTTCTCCCTCCCATCTCAGCTCCAGCTCCCTCCTCCAGTTTTAATCCATTACCCCTTGTCCTCTCACTACAAGCCCTTGTCCCAAGCCCCTCCTGGGGGACTTTCCTGGAGCCCCTTCAGGTTTTCCTCAGCTGATACTTAGAAAGCACATAAAGAAAGGGAAGTGCATTTCCTCGGGGGAAAAAAAGTTGTTTTGTCTTTGATGGTGACAAGTATCAACAGAAATATCATCAGGAGCCCTCAGAGCTCCTCAGATGGGGACACAGGTGCCTCCTGTCACCTCCAGGTGAGTCACAACACGGTGCAGCTGCAGGGATGCAGGTTTGAGGGCTGCCCACCAGTGTCCAGAGCTATCTTCCAAATGGGAGAAATTATCAAAAAAAGGAAAATTATCCAAAAAAAGAGCAGGTGTGAGAGTCTGTCTGGAGGCAGAAGCAGTTGTTTTCATAAACAGGGAAAGGGGCAGGGATGAGTGGGCAATGGTGTGAGCAGAAGCATGGCTGAAAGCCCTGAGGGAACCAGGGGTGTGACAGGTGAGGGTGTTGCTCACATGGGGTTGTTCTTCATTCTTCCTGGGGAGCATCCAGGGCAGGCAGTGAACTTGTGATTTGTGTTAGAAAAGGTGAGATGGTGGTGGGGGTGGTCAGAGGTGTGGAACATGTCACAGGGGGAGAACTGAGAGACTTTGGTCCACTTGGTGGAGTCAAGACAAGGCATGAGCCTCATCCTACAAGGAAGAGGGATTTAAAGGAAGTGAGAAGCACCCTCTTGATGTCCATGGTGGGTGGAAGTTGCAGCAGGATCTCACACTGCTTCAGGGGAGGCCAAAGAAGGGAAACATCCCAACACAGCAGCTTTGTTGTGACAGAACAATGAACCCAGCACATGGTTTCCTAGGAAAAATCTGATCATTTTCCTTGGAAGAAGTGAAGAGCAGCTCAGAGAAGCATCTCTCCAGGACTTGGAGGAGTCTGATCCTGCTTTGAGATCATGGAATCACAGAATGGTGAAGGTTGAAAGGGACCTTAAAGGTCATCAGGTTCCAACCTCCCTGCCATGAGCAGGGACACTTGGGCGGAGA